GTGGGGCGCGCACACCCCCCACAGAGAAAAACCCAAAAAAAAAAAAAAAAAAAAAAAAGAAGGAGGCTGGGGAGGAGCCAGAGAGCAGGAGTGACAGGAGAGCTCCCCAAGAGGAGGGGCAGGTGAGAGAACGAAAGAACTGGCAGTCAAGGGGGAGGAGATGGCAGTGGACATGGGACCTAGAAGCAGCAAGGTCCCTGATGACCTCAAGGAACTGTTTCAGGGACACTGTTGGGCAGAAATGGCTGCCCAGATGGAGGGATGATCAGGAGGGAGGAGGTGGGGCCCGTGCACGTGGTCTGACTGTGGACGACTAACCTAGAGAGGGCTGTGGGAGTGAGGCAAGCCTGGGGAGAGGGCGCGAGGAGACGCCAGCGCCTGCACCGAGTGTGCCCGGGTGCTCGTGGTTGTACCTTAGAACACTCTGGAGAAGGATACCTTACAGGCAAAGGAGAGGGAGCCAGGAGAAGGACGAAGACGAGGTGGGGTGCAATGGGGTGTGCAATGCATCTTTGGGATGTAGAAAGAGAAGGGTCCAAAGCAAACGGGATGGGTCGACTCTGGGTGGGAGGACGACAGAGCACCCAAAGTGCACCCAAGACACCCTGGGAAGCAGCAGATGCACAGGCAGAAGGGGACCTGGCCTGCTCTGAGAACTCCATGTTGTTCTGGGAGGGCAAAGATCATGACCTGCTGTCACCTCGATGGGCTCAGGTCAGTCAGGCCAGGCGCCTTGGAGCAGTGTGCATGGAGTGAGCTAAATGGGGCATGAGCGCGGCTGCAGCCAGAACCCGTGTTCTCTGTGCTGGCCACGGTCATGGTCCTCGTCCTTCCTGAGCCTATTTCCCTTTGTAATAGCTCAGAAATGGGAAGTCACGTTGTCCCCACCGCCTCTGCTGCCCTAGGGGAGCCAAAGGAGTTTTCTCAGCAGCTGAGACTCAGCCAGAAGCAATACACAGCAGGGCCAGCAGGGTGTCTTGCGCTGAAGAGGGATGTGGCAGAGAAAGAGAAGGGGAGGGAAAGAACCCTGGCCTTGGGCTGGGGGGGATCCCAGCAAGATGGCTCGGAGTGGTGGTCTCGGATCTGAACCCCCAGGGCACATCTGCAGGTGCTGCCTAGGGAGGATTGCTGTGGGAATCTAACAGGTAGATGCCAGGGTTGCTTAGCAACTGACAGTGTGCAGAACAGCCCCCAAAGAAGAATTCAGCCTCAAATATTTGTGGTGCTGTTTGAGAAACCCTATTTTACAGGGAATAGAAACAAAATGAGTGGCTGGGGTTTACAAAGGAATACAAACGTGATTGGGAACAAACTTAAGGCGGTCTGAAGGAGAGTCTTGGATGTTAGAAATTGGTTTCTAGGCTGGAACTAGGTGACCTGGTGAGGCAGAAGCTGTCCCATCCATCTCTGCAGCCCTGATATGCCCACGTGCCATGGCCTGGCACAGAGCAGACCCTCCACGAATGTTTATTTCTTCATCTGGGCGAGTCTCCCTTCAGCCCAGTGTCACGGAGCCCCTCCAAGTGCGTGCCAGGCTATGGACTGGGCACAGTGATGCAGGAGGCCAGGAGACTCCAGGCCACCGGGGAACAGAGACGCGAAGGACCAATAGCAATTCAGGAACATTATTGCCACGGAAAGAAGGAGTGCTGACCTCTGACCCAGAGAGCAGGGAAGGCTGCTCCGTGGCAAGGGCACTTGAGCTGGGCCCTGCAGGCTGAGTAGGAGTTTTCTGAGGAGCCACAGAGTATAGAGAGCTGCTCTGAGCTCTTGGGGAGGAGGAAGCAATTTGAATGAAACATGGGGTGTGTGGGGATGGTGCGAGGTGAGCCCTGGAGTCAGTCACACGTGGCTTCACCACTATCAAATAACCACAGAAGGCCACGGGCACCTGTCTCATATGCGTCAGGAGAAGGTAGACCCTCATCTAGGCTGGCAGGCTTTCCGGTCAGGGACGTATCCTGATGTAAGGTCAGGGATGTCAGCCTGACTGTTCCAGTTCCACTTGGGGCCAGGGGGGCCTGGACAGTGGTGTCCAGCGTGGGGCCTTGTGAGACTTTAGCTGGGGGATGGAGTCCCTTGGTGGTCACACAGGAGAGTTTGGCCATGCCTGGTGAAGGGGCAGAGCGTGCCTGGGTATTCTCTCAGCAGGTGCACGGCTGGGAGGGGCTCTCACAGCTGCTTAAGAGATGCTTCCCCACCAAGCTGCCGAGGGTACCCTCAGCCCCTGCCACACCTCGGGACACAGGGCGTGATGCCTCACTGGCTGGTACCACCAGTGAAATCAGACGGGAAGTCTGGAAAGGCATGCCCTGGGCCCCCAGGGCAGTGGCTGCTGGGTCAGTGTGACGTCTGCTCAGGCATCTGAGGGAGACCTGGGCATGGTGAGGAAGGGGTCCCATCTGGAGCCCAGGAGTCAAGACGCTGCTTCTCAGGTGGTGGTGGAATGCCAGTGGACACTGATCATCAGGGCCTGGCTCCACCAAAGACACCCTGTGATGGGGCAGGACCTTTCCCATATGGAGGCCTCGGCCTCCTCCTTACAAGATAGAGAGTGAGGCCCTCATCCTCAATGTGGCCTCAGATGGCCGAAAGAACGGGCGTGAGTCCCAGGCCTTGTCCTGTCCTCCACCCTATGGTCGAGGCCAGGCTCTGGAGGGAAGCCCATGGCGATTCTGGTAACCATGAAGGCAGTGAGCCGAGGGCGAGCACGCTGAACCGAGGATCCCCCCAGAGTCTCGGTGTCACCTTGTGTAGAGTGGGTTTAACATGACAGCCTTCGATGGCAGTGCGAGGGTCAGAAGAGAGAACGCACCATGGGTGTTTGGGAGCATGGCCGGCAATGGACGTGCTTGTCCATGGTGTTGGCACCGCAGACAGGCTGGAAGGAGGCGGCACCAGGGGGCGCCAGGCATCTCAGAGGCGAGGTTTGCTCGCAGGCACTGCGGGGAGTTGATGGGGGCCCTGGGCTATACTCATTTCAACTGGGGGCGAGGGGCTGACCAGACCGATATCAGGTT